GCAGACGTCCCTCGCCGAGCTCGGCATGGACTCGATGATGGCCGTGGAAATCAAGCAGAGCCTCGAACGCGAGTACGACATCATACTGACGGCTCAGGACATTCGTGGCCTGAACTTCAGCAAGCTCCAGGATATGTCGGAGAAGACGACGATAGTACCACAGCAGAGTCAGGACGTGCTGACGGGTATGAAGCTTCTCATGCGCGTCATCGGCTTGGACAGCCTCAGCTCGGAGACGTGCATCAAGATGGAGACCGCCGTTGACGAGGGCAAGGGCGAGCAAAGACAGGTCTTCCTCCTGCCGGGTATCGAGGGTACAGCCAACCCCTACCGGGTTATAGCCGATCAGCTCAAAGTACCAGCCTACGTGCTCCAGCTCAATAACATAGGGGGAGAGAGTATCAGCATAGAGTCGATTGCTGATTATCTCTTGCCGGTACTCCACTCCAGTTCTGCCTCTTCTCTTATGCAAATCCATAATGTGCGAATGAATGGACGAGAATCGCGTTATTACGTGCTTTTGCTCCTTTTGCTTTTACATATACACTGACTGCTGCCGATCGATAATCGTACGAAGCCGATTGTTTTATTTTATTTTTTTACTCGCTATTCGGTATTTTAGAATTGTACGTTGCGTCTTACCACCAGAATAACGGAATGATTAATCGAATTTCCGTAGAACTCTGCCGTAGCTTGAAAGTGCGTTGAATATTGATAAAAAAAAAAAAAGAAAGAAAAAAAAAAATTAAAAAAAAAAAAAAAAAAAAAAAAAAAAAAAAGGAAAAAAAAAAAAAGAAAAAAAAAAGAATATTGCATTAATGCTGCAAAAACCATTAGCGATGGAAATGGTGATAGAAAGCTCGTTAAGCTCCGGTCAACGATCATTGTCACACACGGCGAATTGTAACGTTGGTATTCTATCGTTTATTTTAACTTTAGCCAACTTATTTTCATCAATATAAACATCTGGTTGAATTGCTTGCTGATAAAAAATTCGTATTTGGTTTATACGTGCAGTTTGTGACTGACAAGATGGGTGATCGTAATGACTTTACACTGGTCGGCTACTCCTACGGTTGCACCATTGCCATTGAGCTCGCGAGAAAATTGGAGGCCAAAGGCATGACTGGAAAACTGATTTTCATCGATGGCTCTCCAGATTTGATAAAGTCCATCGTCAATCAACATTTAACTTACAGCTCTGACGAAGAGCTTCAGAGTAACATTTTGCTAGGCATGATGGACATTATCGATCCTTCAATGAGTTCGGAGGTAAGAATGTTCCTTTTCTCTTTTTGCACTACACAATACAACAATACCGTTAGCGAAAATTATTTTACAATATTAAGAAAATATGCCCACTTCCTTGTATAATATTATAATGTTGAGCCTGCGATATATTCCTTGGGCAGACAAATCTTTTTCCCTTCCTTCTCCTGCGTGTTCATATTATTTATAATCATAGATTAATAATATATATATATATAGCAATCGAGTAATAATCTAATCTTTTGCTTTGTAATTAATCAAAGACCTTTGTATCGCCACTTATCGAGGGGATGCTCGCGCAAGGAGACATTTGACGCCCACGCGCTCGTTAATCGACAGTCCATTATTTTAAGCATTAAAATTATTTAGGCGATTTTTCGATCGCTACATCCAATTTTACTAATGAAAAAGCTAATGAAACCGAAGGATCGATAAATTCAGCTCGATAGATCTCGCTAATTCTCCTTTTTAACGCAGCTCGTCGTTAGCATGTCGAATAACACAACGTGGGAAGAAAAGCTTCGGACTTTCACTACGTGCATACGAAATTCATCCGTCTGGGAGTCAATGAACGAGGATCAGTTGAAAATCATCCCGGAAGTGCGAAAGAGAATCGTCGCTTTGACAAAGTACGATACAACCGACCTGAAGCCCATCAAATCGCCCATTACTCTATTGAAGCCGACGATGCCGACGATGCTCTTCGCACCCGAAGATTATAAACTGGGCAAGGTACATCCCATTGGAATATCAAAGTCGTGCCTGAGGCTTTTCACCACACGACAACATCAATCATTACGATAGAACATAATAAAACATAATTGATAATTAATATGAATTATAAATGATGAGCTGATAGAGTCGTTCGCTATTTAAGGATGCTTAGTGTGCGAGAGGCTTTTAAATTAATTTATTCATCGATGAAAGTGTTGCGCCAATAGTACGGAACTCTTCGCGCTCAAATGATGAATAACGACTTTTTAATTAAACTCTTTGAGCAATCGCAATGTAATTAGACGCGAATAATGTTTTCTACAGCGGTACAATTACAATAACAATTACAATGCAATAATTATAATGCTTTAAGCTGTGACTTTATAATCTTATGAAATCGTCTTGAAAGATCGAAGGAAGAATCATTTCATTCACAATAATGATTTGAATTTTTTATTTTTTATTTTATTTTTTATTTTTATTTTTTTTTTTAGCTCACAACAGGAAAGATAGACATTTATTATGCTGAGGGAAATCACCGAACGATCATGGATAATATCAAAATTATCTTGGCAATCAACGGTGATCCCATCGAGGATCCCGATGAATTTAAGGAGAAATTAATGGAAGGCAGTTCGTCCAAGGCTGCGAGCTTAGCGCAATAATCATTAAAACGGGAATTGCGTGTTCTTGTCTTGTATATGAAGTTGTTTCGCGAGAGGAGAACAACGTCACGAAGCTTTTTTTTTTTGTTTGTTTTTTTTTTTAATTTTTTTTTTTAATTTTTAGCGGACACCAATGAATATAAATTATTATGGGCATGTTATTATAATGTTTGGAAATTTTATTGTCGTTGCTGTTGATTATTGAAATTTGTATTTTTATTTTTAATTTTTTCTTCCGTCTTCTCCCTCTCTTAATATTACTCGTAAAACTGATAAATGGTTACCATAATCATAAAACACTCCCGTCATTTTTACGCAAAATAATATACAGACATTAATATAAAATTGATTAAAGACTTCTCGGAACAAATAATTTTTAAAATAAAGGTATTCAATTAGTTAGAAAATCGTTTTAATTTCATATATACCCTTTTATATTTCCTGCCAGTCCGTCATTATTCTGATTCAAGAGCTTGAGAAAATCATCCAATGGATAATTTTAATTATAAATAATAAAGATATATATAGTAGTAGTTTTATAATTTTCTTGCTCTTACTTAATTTTATTTATATCTAGTGAAATATATAAAAACTTGAGCTTTAGAACACTTTTATATGAATTATAAAGAAAAATGATGCTTTTTAATGAAAGAAATATCTTTGTTGTAATACTTTACTTTTTAATGTAAATAGCTGTTTCTGAACCTAACTATTAAACATTTATTCTTAATACCAATTGTAATAATATCAAAGTGTAGCTTAATGAAAATTGTTGTCATTATCGAGAAAATTAATATATTTTTAAACGTATCGCGATTAGCGTAGGAGGTAAGATTTAATTATACATATTTATTTACATTTAATTTATGCAAGATAGGCATATTTGTGCATTATTTGATATTCACCTTCCTAACAGACATCGACACATACTATATTATCACTTATGAAAATAATTGAATGTAATTAAACATATGATTCAGAAATTAATAAAATTAAGATTTTTAAATGAATATAATTGCATTCCTAATTTATTAAATGACACAACATTCACAAATCATTAGCAAGCTTGATAAATTGATAAGAACTATATTAAAAATTTATAGGTGCAAATTGTTTAAATCGTTTTTGCACTGTTACAATATTTTTAACAAAGAGAACAAAGGAGATAATTAATAAAAATTATTTACTAAGTATTTATTCTACTTGGTGAATCTTTTACATAAATGCGCAAGTACATACATTAAATTTAGCGGTCTTTCATGCGTAACGACTAAAGGTTCAATATGAATTATGTACAAGAAAGATGAGTCGTGGCTTATTCCAACACATTTATAAAATTAACAACGTGTATCAAAATAGTTACTTTTATTTCTAAACAATTATCAAATTACGAATATCTTCTTATTAAATTTAATAAAAATCTAAAAGAGATATTGTCATTTTATACGCAGGCGCAGCTAGTGATCCGTATATCTGTAGATGCTTATACGAGAATATTTTTATTTGGATGTCTTATGTACATAAATAAACACAGTAACGATGGAAATTTGTTATTACAATTAATTTGATGACCATGACCACGACTAATCAAGAAAAATGACATTGTAAAGGATATTTTGATCGACGTAATAGAAAGTATTCAAATATGATAAATATAATCAGTCTATGCTCGTTTCAATTTTCATTGTCATTGCAAATTTTTATTCTCACAATTTTTTTCAAAATTTTTATTAATTTTATTTAATTATTATACAAATTTATGAGGAGCAAAAAAAGAAAGAATCGAAAGAAAAAATTGAAAGAAAAGCAAGAAATACAATTTCTAATATTCTTATTATTAATCATTAATCTGCATAAAGAATTCAAAGTGAATAAAAACAAAACTTAACAGTTAAAAAGACTGAGATTATTATACAATTTCATTCGTATTACTACCAAATATGAGAATAGACTTTCTTAAAATTTCCCTTAATTTTAATGAAAAGTGTTTATCTTAAGTCTATATATAATAATATACAAATTGAATAAACTTATGATGCGATGATAGATGAAAAATCAATATCAATTAGTATTTAACGAAAGATTAAAGATCCATAAGTTCTAAAGTTGGATCACTATTATTTACTTCCATTGTTTGATTCAAATTTGGAATGCTTTCGTTATTGTTGTTGTTGTTGTTGTTGTTGTTGTTATTGTTATTGTTATTTTGATTGTTATTGTTGTTGTTGTTGTTGTTGTTGTTGTTATTGTTATTGTTATTTTGATTGTTATTGTTGTTGTTGTTGTTGTTGTTGTTGTTGTTGTTGTTGTTGTTTGCGCTAATGGAGGTGCTATTATTATTGTCATTGGAAGATGGATTCTCGCTTTCGGTATCTCTAGGCATTGACAACATACATAAATGTTTGCTTGGCGGCTCCCAAAGTACTAAAGCCATGCTACGCCTCTCCCTGAAAAGACATATTTCATTCAAATTTTTTTCAATACAGTATTACATTATGATAATCGAGAAATTAACAATGTTAAGTGCTGCTTAAACAATTACATTACTACAACAATTATATTGATTTTCATCGCTTACAATTTTGATAATAAACTAGATGGAAGAATTGGCTCCTGTTGCAGTTTTTTAACTTCGTCCGATATAATTAGCCTTGGCTCGCTATCAAATTCATCTATTCCTAATGAATTTGGTAAATTTGTGTCACTAGCTTGTGGCAAAATTTCTCCAGTAATAGCCGTCGATGTTGACGATACAGATTCTTGTGTATTAAGTACATTGTTACTGATATACAATCCTCGAAAGTGCTGAGCCATTTTCTCCTCAGTAATAAATTGTTTAGTAGGTTGTCTATAATATAAATAATATAATAATAATTGTTTTGATATAATAATATTATACTTTTGCACAACGTATATTATGTTGTTAGAAATATACTTATTAGTGAAAATACCAGTGAATTGTGCTCAAGATTATTCACCAACGTAATTCCAATATATTTAAATATATTATACATTATGTAAATTGAGTAATAGTTTTGATACGTAAATATCAAACGCTTCTTTAATTTTATAAGATATAAAGGAATATAAGAAGCTCGTGAGTCCTTTAATTTTCATAAATAAAAAAGGGAATTCAATATAAATTCAATAAAGGCAAGTTCTATGTAATTGTACGTACGTATCGACTATGTCAGGTGTTTCGAGTTTGCGCTTCTGATGAATAAGTGGTTCGAACGGTTGTGGAGTCCTTTCGCCAGTAAATCGAACCAGATCCGGTTGTTGAAAGGCGGATATACTCCAAGGCATTGTCATTGGAGGTACCTGAGGCATTCTCAACCATTGGGTCTCATTTTGTTGAGTGATGCTCTGATGGCTCAACGTATGTGAAAAAACAGACTGTGTCGTGTGCAGTTGCGTTCCACCCATTGTATTCTGAACCGGAGTTGGATGCACTGAGTAAAAGTGTGTAGACATAGCTAGCATAGTGCAAAGAAGATTTAGAGACAAACGACGATACTCGATTGTTTAAAACAATTTCACATATTACTATTAATTAAAGATATTGCGCAATGGCACACAATCGCGACTTACTTTGTTTACTTATTACAATCAAAATCATACGACATCAAATATTTAATCGCAGAAGTCTAACTTCTATATTCGATTACTAAATGACTGACAAAAATTACTCGCTTCATCGTGCTTATAAGTATACATTGTGATAAATCAGAAATATTGACTTTTGTCTCTTTAATCTTAAATACATTTTCAATACAATACATAATAGATAATTAATCATTTTAAATGCCTTTATTTAATGATTTTATTATATACTTGAATAGATAAATGTAGTAAATGGCATTATTTTACTAATACAATACTTTTAAGTTCTTAATATTAAATGAAATATTAAAATATAAAAATACGCTGTACAATATATTGATAATATTTCAACTTATAAATTGAATGATTAATTTTTAATTAATACGATGTTAACTAATTTTTGGATTCCCATATAATATTTCAATATAATGAATATGACGGTAATAAAGTTAAACATATTTTTTGATGGAAATTTTGTTAAAATCAATATATATATAGTTTTTCAAGAGATATATAGTTAGTAAAACTTTTCTTCAAAAGGATTTTAGGATAAAATTGTATTTGTAAATTGAAAAGATACTTGGTGTCGTTACTCTATTGCTATTAAAATTTTGTTATGAAAATATAAATTTGAATTTTCGTTGTATAAATAATAAGTATTGCGATAAAATATTTAAAAAAATAAGTCTTTGTTTTTTACTTTTTAATAGTCACGACTTTGAATAACTACTACCGAACTACTCCAAGTACTTCGCATATATCGTAACAATTTGAATGCCTAAGATATATATATCATGCAAATCGTACTCTCTTGACAGTCCGTTAATTTTTACGAGCAATAATTTATTATACGCAATCATTCGGATTTTGCTGAACTTTTAATATGGTTACCCCCCAATTCGTAATTTCACACTTTACGAAATGGCTTATTGCTCCTCGATAGAAAAAATTTGCCGCAATTTTTGGCGTTTGCACGAAAATTGGGAGAGAAGTAATTGGCAGAAGAAAGCAATTTAACTTAACGTACTGTCATGGAAGATAGGCCAGAAATTTTTCTCGTAGATGTAGTCGGGAAAGACGGCTGTACTATATACAACGATGACACTGGTATTCTAGAAATATCCTCTCGACGTCTACACAACTTTCAATACTAAACTCTAATTCACAGCTCTTTCCTCATAATTCATAAGCTGATTATATACGATGATTATACGACACCTTTTTCTCTACCTGTAGCCCCAATTAATAATTCCCCAATTGATTTAAATAAATATTCGCCTACGTAGCCTCTTAACGTTTAGCAGCGTATGTGTTTGTGGCTTGGCAATAAGCTGTTCTAAAATGGCTCCTAGTTCTCCGATTTAAGCTCGAGGAAAAGTTTTGAGTGCGTTCGTATGTATGAGCATAAACTTGTAGGATTTTGCAGTCAGTGCTTTGTGCTTTGGTAACAAAGTACTTCTATATGAAGGAGTGTCCAATAGGGAAATTCGTGACTATTGTTGTTCCTTGTTGTTTGCTCAGGCCGTCACAATGACCGTCAGATTATGAAAATTTTTAAAAACAGAAACTGATATTACTTTATAAGAATCGAATTTTTTCGAATGAAAAATTATATAAAATAGCTGAAATAGGGGAAGGAGATTAATTTCTTGAATTTCCGAGGTCAGATAAATTTAAGCGAGCTTTATTAGTTAGTTTAGCTATATTATTACTAAGAGATTATTAATGATTTGCAATGCTGGTGAACCAAGGACTTTGTTTTTGTTTATAAGCGTGTTTGTAAACGTATAAGAAATAAAGAAAAAAAATTCATTTCCGCACAAATCATTGCTGTTGTAAAAATATAGCAAAAGTTCGATCTAAGCTCGGCGGAGTTGGAGACAAAATCAAATCAAATGCCTAATTAATATAATTCGCTTAAACCCAAGAATAATACTTTTAATTATATTTTTTTTTCAAAGCATTAATTTGATTAAATCTTCCATCTTTGGCAATAGGAGGATGCCAGCAATAAAAGAAGTGAGGACTGTGCTTATCAAATACGACATTAACCCTTCGGGGTTATGATTGTCAAGTGGTGACCGGATGGCATAACAAAAGCTCGTGGCTGACTGTCAGCAATAATCCGACCTTCGTTGACGGGACGATAAGTGGAGTTTGGCATTGTAGAATAGCCTAATTGTAATGGGAATGAATAAAAACAATGTTTTTTCAAGATGGTGCGAATAACATGAAATGTAAAGTCAAATAACAAATTATAGAAATTTATAAATTACGGCAATTTAATGGATAAGCAAAATGACTCGTTCAAAAATTCAGAGGATTAAATTCTTTGTGTTTCTGTTGAGCTTTATTTTTTCACAAAAAACGTCTTGCGATGGAAGTTTTAGAAAAAAGTACGAAACCGCGGAACATGTGCCTTTTATTAGTAAAAGCGATAATAAAGAGAGTGTCGAGACAATTTCCGTACTGTCGAAAAACAAATTAGCAGATCCTCTTGCACAAGGCATTGTGTACAACGTTTCTGTTAATAATTCGAAGAAATTAGGGGTAAACGTAACCTCTAAAACAATTAACGAATTAACTACCACTTATTCGCCTATAACGCCTACAATGCAGGTACGACATTTCTCGAGCGTACATAATAATTATTTCAAATTCTTCATTATCCTCCAAGTTAAACATTCAAAGTGTTATTAAGAAAATATCGCACTCTAGGTTGTTGTATATTTTTGCATTTTAAATTAATGAAATACAATACAAGTCAACAATTGTATGAATGAAAATTTTTATTTCATAATAATATTTGATTCCTACAACGCTGTCACTACCATCTTTATTATTAATAATAGCATTATGTGATTTTCTTATTATCGTTATATTACAGTATATAAAATATATTACAATAATCTTTTCCATGCAATATTTAAATTGATATATGGATTTACATCTCCCGATTGATTTACAAGAATTTATTTATATAATTGATGAATTTTCTTATATTCCAATTTATAATGTGAAAAGTTAATAATAATCAATAGCGAATGTCTTTATTTTTACATTAAAGTTCTCATCTATATTAAATGCTAAAAATCTATTGATACCCGCGCCTATATATCGCTCAATGGAATTTTATAACATACATTGAGCACATATTTGCACGACCGTTGATAATTAATTAATCTCGATTAATAATACAATGCTAAATAACAATATACTTTATAGATGACTAATGGAATGCATATATCATCTTTAAATTCTGGAGCATTTTTAAGAGGTATTTTTGTTATTATTGGTCTTAGCATAATTGTAATGGCATATATGGTGTTCCGTGGCTTTAGGTAAATTTAATAATTTAAATTAATTATTATAGTCGTACCGTGAGCTTATTGAACATTATTAAAACTAAATGTATTAATTATATTTTATAGGTTAAGTAAAACGAGAGCCCAAATGGTTAGAAAATACGGGGTTCTTGCGCATAGACAAGATGTTGAAATGAGACCATTACCATTAGACGAAGACGACGAAGATGACACAATTGTCTTTGATGCAAGTAATATTGCTTCAAATACATTGCAGTCACAAGATACATAAATAAATCCTTATTTTTTATATATATTGTAATGTCGGATAATTGTACACAGTAAAAATAGTTATGTAAACTAATATTTTAAACGATTAATGAACTGTGAGACTGAATATAAAAGGTGAAAAATAAAACAAATAAAATTGATTGATGAATGATGTGATAAAAATTGAATTGTAAAATCTTTTATCAAAATATTTCTTGTTCAAGTTGCATATAATGTAATGTTTGTTCATTAAATTGACCGTGCAATTTTCCTCCTTATAAAATATTTATAGAAAACAAGTATGCTCGTGTAAAAGATATTAATACCATCTGTAAAAAATCTCTATACAATCTGCTAATTATTACTGTGCAAACGCTAAATATCATTGTATAAATGAATTTAATTAACTTTTATGTTTTTTTTTTATTTTTTTTTATTTTTTTTTATTTTTTTTTTTTTTTTTTTTAGTAAACGATACTATAAATTTGATTTTATTTAGGATGAAAGATAAGAGTAACAAATGATAGAAATTTAAAAAAAAAAAATAAAACCGATCTTTGGCATATAATTAATTAAATTATCTTTGGTATTTAATAATATGCGGCACCGCCTGTTAATCAATATATTATCTTGATAAGAAATACTTTCAAACTGATGTAATTTTATTAGAAATAAGTACACCGAATGTATAAAAGAGTCATGTTTGTATTATACAGTGATTAATATTATTCAAAATGACCTATGCGTTTGTAAAAAGTTAAATTTTATTTACATTATTTTATAAATATAATATAAATTATAAAATCACTGTATACGAGATATATTTTATTATCACTTAGAGTTATGTGGTTGGAAATTTTATTTTATTTTAAATAATCTTAATTGAATGCATCTTAATGATGCATGAAAATTGCATTTCTATTCATTCTATTGAATGAATCGAAATTTATATTTACAATATAAATTATAAATCAACAATATGTAAAATTAAATACGTCCCAAAAATCACAAATGTGCATTAAATTGTGAATTTGAATTTTTAACAATAAATTCTTATAAATAAAATCAAAATAAGTATTCATTACTTGGAATTATTTTTGAACGTATTTATTATATTGACAAAATTTTTACAGTTATGTATTATAACGTTCCTAATTAATGTAATTAATTATGTAATAAGCTATATAGCACAACTACATATATATATATATATATATATATATATATATATATATGTATACAAATTACAAATACAAATACAAATTTTTTGCGAAATCATAAAACTTCTTATTACTTTATTTATAATGTTTATTTAATTTTCTTTTCAAAATCAAATCACTAAAATATAATCTTCATAATTCAATATAATTCACATTTCAATACATTAATATTTAAACTACGAAATTAATCCATGAAATATGTTTATAGGTATATTCATTATTATGTGAATATAAATGTACGATATGGGTGTAATTTGATTGTGAATATGTTCATTACGCGTTGGTAATTTGATTTATTACGCGATGTACAATACGTAGTCAACACTGATTTTATAAAGGGCCGCGATAGAAGGTCGTGGCCCTTGTTTAGCTGGTGCCAAAATCTCCGATGCCGTTTGTCACAACAATGTTTTGTCAGGATAAGTCAGGTTATTGGAAATAGAGTATCACGTCAGTATTTTGAATATAATTCAACATTAAGTCGTAAAAATAAATAAATAAAATTATTCGTTTTCAGTATATAAATATTTGTAACAATGGTAAAAAGAAATTAACGCTATATTTACTTTACCGCATCCACTATTTATTAAATGATATATTATATTTGTCTGTTTGAAGTACTTATATATTTTCGTGTTTATAAAGTCGTAATATAATAAATTATATTACTTAACGTTATCCTATCTATAATTATTATCCTAATTATCTTCCAATTATATGAAATATGTGTATAAAAATGTTTAAAGATCTTAATATATGAATGGACATTGAATCACCGTTTGAAATTGTGTGAATAAATTTTATATACTTCCATAGAGAATTTAACAATGAATAATATTAATTATAATTTTACATTGCAAAACTCAAACTTATTCTCCATCATTTTGGAAAATTGACTATAAACTACTCTTTCGTTACAGATCCTTTGTGCTATTATAAATACAGAATAATGTAAATACGTAATAATCGAGTTCAACGAACACTATATTGTAAATAGGAATTTCGATTATTACTAATTTTTAGATTTAAATATATTACTACTTCCAATACTTAAAAATGTTCCATTTAAATTAATAAATAAAGTCAAATAAAGTTTTTTTTGTCATTTTTATTATATTTCTTAATGTAAATAATTTTTTATTCCTTTAATGTAGGGGTGCAGTTAACACACCACAGTTAACACGAAATATTTAACGATATTTTGCCTTGATTTTATATTTGGCACCAAACAACAAGACATTAACTGTGAAATGTGATTAGTTATATATTACACATACTCTGGCCTACATTAGGAATTTAAAAAAAATTGTAACAATTAAGGTCAAAGCTAATACATTTATAATATTGTAATAAAATGATTATGAGCAAACATGGATATTCCATCGTCAATTTTTTCTTAACAACATCAGTTTAAATCAATAATAACTTGCATAGTTTTTATTTATGGGATTATGTCGTGATAAAGAAGTTAAACGCAATTATCATTTTTCTCTTATCATCATTACAAAATAATCGATGACAATACTTCAAATAATTTTTTCTTTAATCTTAATATAAGGTCTCCTAACAACATTTTCTATTTATAGTATTGCAATATTGTAAACTCCAAATAGATTCAAATGTATGTTAAATAGAACATATTTCAATAAATTTGTTGATAAAGCTAGAAACAAAATACAATGAAACAGTTTATTCTAGGTAATTTATATATCACATAGACCTCCACAATATTTTTTTTATATCCTATTATTCGTTGCTCAATCGTTATTATATATATATATATATATATATTTTTTTTTTGTTTTGTTTTATGTATTCCAGATAATGAAGTAAAATTCTCTCTAGGATATTGTATGTTTCAACAGTATTTCCACTACGCGAAATGTTAAAATCTTTTTGATGCAAATATCAATGTAAATGATTAGATAAACATAAGGCAACGGTAACATTGAGCATTAAACCGATAGATTTTCAAAATACAAGATATAATGTTTAGTTTCTGTACAATATTACGCACTCTTATTAACCGATAAATTAAGAAAATGAGTTTATCGACAAGAATTTAACATACAGTCAATTCCACGAGAGCCAACTCTTACGACATTACAATTTTATAACTAAAAAAGGTTGCGAAGATATTTTAATTCACTACGTGAATGAAGACATCGCTCTTTTTATGAAAACTATTAATTTATAAAACAAAATATAATTATAGCAGATCACAGATATAGCAATGATGCGCCGAGTTAATTGAAAAATAAACAATTTCTATAAAATTCTAAATTACTAATGGTCGTCACATGTAACTCAAACAGCTCTACTGAATTCGTATTGTCATCGTAATTTCGTCAATTAGTTATAAAGTTATTTTCAAATGCCCTAGTTTGTTCCAAATCGGCCACTCGGAGGCTTAAATGATTTTCGAAAATGATTAATTCGTACTAAATTGCGATTTTTTTTTCTCGGTAAAATATAAATCAAACTAAAATACACTTAGAACGTTAAAATATGTATATATTTTTATATAAATTATCAAATAATATCGCAACAATATTCTCAAAATTAGAAATAATTAAAATTTAATCCACTTGATTAAATTAAATATGCTCTGATTTTTAACGTGCATGGTCTATTCAAGTTATAATGTCTTCAATTGATGACAAAATAGTGATATCATTATAAAATATGAGTCAATTGAAATTTTATGAGACCAAAGTATTATTAGGCTTTTCGATTGAACCAGTATGTAATATTATTAAACTCAATAATTGGTAAAATTGTTTTTCTAAAAGACAATGAATTTAATAAAGAATAAGGAAAGGAAAGCAAAATCTGATTATATCTGATTTAATCGCATAGAGAAACAAATATAAAAATTGTAGTTTGTACTTCTTAGCGAATACTGTCGCCGCTCGCTTTAAATATTTATAATGTACGACTTAAGCTATGAGCTAATTCGTACTATCTAAGCTTATTCATTGAATGTTTATAGAATAACGAATTTAAGGTGTTTAAATTCACTAAAAACAAGCGTGTAAACTGTAAATAGAAAAGAGTTATAAACGAACTGTTGCCAAAAAGGTACTTTATTATACATTTAATTTATGAAATTAAATATTAATTGGATTATTAAAGTATAAAGTCACTGCATCATCTTTAATTCTTATTCATAACGACTTACTGAATTACAAGTTTGATTATTTTTTTTTTTCTCTATTTATTGTAGTTATCGTAGAATTATATTGTAATAAAACAATTATTATAAAAGTAATAAAAGCTGTTGGTTTACATAGTAATTGAAATATTATTAGAATATTATAAGTATCTGAAAAACTTTTCAAAGTTGTAATTTTTATTGGCAATAAGAAATTTTAAGTTATTATAAATAAATAAAGTCACAATATACATATCGATTTCAATCAATTAAATTTGACAAATTTCTTTCTTATTATTGTCAGAGTAGTTTAACTATTAAAGTATGAAAACGAATACAAAAGAATTTTCTACCATTATAAAAAAAAAAAATTATTAACATATCAATTAGTTTTATTGATCTAGAGATACAATACGGAGTTTCTTCGATTAACCCTTGCGAAAATTAATATGTTATAGTCTTAAACAATAATCGAATAATTGTCCCTCCACGTGCAAGTATTTCATTCATTATATATATTAGTGAGACTCTTGATAAAGAAGTTCAAAGATTTGTACAAAAGAACCAAGAAAATTTACGTTGAACGTTGAATTCTTCTAATAGATCTTTAACAAAATTCTATGCTTTTAGTAAGTGATAAGATTTATGTTAAATATAGTCATTGTTATATTATCGTAACATTATTAACATAGATATTAATTGGTCCTGGTGTAAATGGTAAATAAAAATTTGGATGAAGCGTGCATTGATATAAATATTAATTTTAAAGTTATACATATATATATATATATATATATATA